GCTTGTGCAATGTGCCGCTGTCTTCCATGAGTTCATTAATGATGTCTTTCGCGATATGTTGCAGCAATGTGTGGTGGTCTATTTGGATGAAATCTTGGTTTATTCGGACTCCATTGAATCACACTACTTGGATGTCAGACGGGTGCTGCAGCGGTTGCGTAGGAATGGGCTTTTCTGTAAGCTTGAGAAATGTGAATTTCACCTGTCTTAGGTTGCCTTCTTGGGCTATATCATTTCTGCTGAAGGGTTCCCCATGGCCACTTAGAAGATTTCGGCAGTTCTGCAATGGCCTTGCCCCAGTGGTCTCCGTTCCATTCAGCGTTTCCTTGGGTTTGCCAACTATTATCGGAAATTTATCAGGAACTTTTCCGCTTTGGCCAAACCCATCTCCGATCTGACCAAGAAGGGCAGCGATTCCCACAATTGGACGCTTGCTGCTTCCCAGGCTTTTGAGGGCCTCAAGTCTGCTTTCGCTTCGGCTCCAAATTCTGTCTCATCCCAATCCTGGTTTGCCCTTTGTCCTAGAGGTGGATGCGTCTGAGACAGGAGTAGGCGCCCTCCTGTCTCAGCGTCGGACACCTGATGGACCCTTACTCCCTTGTGGGTTCTACTCCAGGAAGTTGTCTCCAGCAGAATGCAATTACCAGATTGGAGACAGAGAGCTTTTGGCTATCATCCTGGCCCTCAAAGAGTGGAGATACTTGCTCGAAGGTTCTGTGGTTCCGGGTTCTCATTCTCACCGACCGTAAAAATCTGACGTATCTCTCGGAGGCCAAGAGGCTTACACCCCGTCAGGCTAGATGGACCTTATTCTTGTCTCATTTTAACTATGTGGTCTCCTATTTGCCCGGCTCCAAGAATGTTAAGGCTGATGCCTTGTCTCGCCAGTATTCTGAGTTGTCCAGGGAGGACTCCATGCCGACGCCAGTCATACCTTCCGATCATATTCTGGCTGCCATCCGCACCAACTTGACCTCTCCCCTTGGGGAACAAATCCTGGCTGCCCAGTCCGATGCACCCACTGGGAGACCTGCTGGCAAATGTTTTGTGCCTGTGGGGTTGCGCACGTACCACAATTCCAAGATTGCCAGTCATCCTGGTAAGAACCTGATTTCCTGGGCGGTTTCCCGTCAGTTCAGGTGGCCATCTCTCCACACTGATGTCTACACGTATGTGGCTGCATGTTCCGTCTGTGCCCAGAACAAATCTTCTTGACGCCTACCCTTGGGCCTACTGCATCCCATTCCAAATGGGGAGCTTCCCTGGTCTCACCTGGCCATGGATTTTATTGTGGCGCTTCCTGCGTCCCGCGGTTACCCTCTTGGTGGTCGATCGATTCTCCAAGATGTGCCACTGTGTTCCGTTTAAGAAGATGCCTACCGCTCAGGAGCTGGCCTCTGTGTTTGCCAGGGAGGTCTTTCGGTTACACGGGGTGCCTAAGGAGATTGTCTCGGACCGCGGGAGTCAGTTTGTCTCTAGGTTCTGGCATGCCTTTTGCTCTCAGTTGGATATTCGACTCTCCTTCTCCTCAGCCTACCATGCGCAGTCCAATGGTGCCGCTGAGCGTTCCAACCAAGCCCTGGGGCAATTTCTCCGCTGCTATATCTCTGACCATCAGGACAATTGGGTTGATCTGCTACCCTGGGTGGAGTTTGCCAGGAACTCTGCCATCAACTCGTCCTCCGGAATGTCTCCGTTCATGGCGAATTATGGGTTCCAACCCTCTGTGTTGCCTGAGTCATTCTCGCCACAGGACATTCAGGCTCTGGATCATCTTCGTGTCCTCCGTTCCTCTTGGGTGCAGATTCAGAAGTCTTTACGGGTCTCTGCTCAGCATCAGAAGCTCCAGGCAGACCGGGAACGTCTGCCGGCTCCTTCGTACCAAGTTGGGGAGAGGGTGTGGTTGTCAACTCGTAGTCTCAACCTCAGGGTGCCTGCTCCGAAATTGGCTCCCCGTTTTGTTGGACCCTTTCGCATTCTGCATGGGGTGAACCCGGTTGCCTATGCCGTAGACCTTCCACCTGGCATACGTATCTTCAATGTCTTCCACGTGTCGCTTTTGAAGCCTCTGGTTTGTAATCGCTATACCTCCTCACTTCCTCGCCCGCGTCCCATTCCTGTGGGCAATCATGAGGAGTATGAGATTAGCGGTGTCCTGGACTCCCGTCTGCTCCGCGGTTGGGTCCAATTCCTAGTGCACTGGAAGGGCTATGGTCCTGAGGAGCGATCCTGGGTTTCCACCGCTGATATTCGTGCGCTCGCCCTTCTCCACGCTTTCCATGCTCGCTTCCCTCAGAAACCGTTTTTTGCTCCACGGAGGGGGGACCATTGAGGGGAGGGTACTGTCAAGGTCTTACCTTGTCCTCATGATGGCAGCCATTTTGGACATGTGCAGACTGCAGTCTCTTTTATATCCTCTCATCGCTTGACTGCTGCCTGGACGTCGCACAGTGATGATGTGGCAACACCTGACTATATCAGTCTGCTCAGTATTCAGATTCATTGCCCTTGCGTTTGTGCTCCAAGGTGCATCTCTGGTGATCTGAGTTCCTTTGTGTGTTTCTGTTTATGATCCGGTCCGGCTGACGTTTCCTCTGGCTCTCGACCCCGCATCGGCAGACGTACCCGCATTGGAATTGATTCCGGCTTGGACAACTACCCGCTTTGGACTTGACCCTGGCTTGGACGACTACCCGCTTTGGACATGATCCCAGCTCGGCAGATGTACCCGCATTGGACTTGACCGGCTTGTTCCTGACCTCGCTGCTCCCTGATGAATGTTTATTTATGTTCCTTTTAAATAAACAACTTTATTTTACCTGCGTTTCCGTGTGGTCTGGTTTCCTGGCTCCCGTGACACATACAGTGGGGCAAAAAAGTATTTAGTCAGCCACCAATTGTGCAAGTTCTCCCACTTAAAAAGATGAGAGAGGCCTGTAATTGGCATCATAGGTAGACCTCAACTATGAGAGACAAAATGAGAAAACAAATCCAGACAAATCACATTGGCTGATTTGGAACTAATTTATTTGCAAATTGTGGTGGAAAATAAGTATTTGGTCAATATAAAAGGCTACCATCAGTAACACACTACGCCGCCAGGGACTCAGATCCTGCAGTGCCAGACGTGTCCCCCTGCTTAAGCCAGTACATGTCCGGGCCCGTCTGAAGTTTGCTAGAGGGCATTTGGATGATCCAGAAGAGGATTGGGAGAATGTCATATGGTGTAAACCTCTACTCCCTTCCTATGGAGCTCAAGAAGGAACCTCAGGGCTTTCCCCAATGTGGTGAAGGAGTGGTTCAGATTGGGGATGCTGCTTTAACCCTCTTAGGTGTAGTGAGGGGGCGCAGTTCCCACAAGCCTCATTTACCAAAGGGAAACAATGGGAGGAGTTACCAGTGTATTACCGCATATACTGGTGATTAAATACAGTACCCACAACCAAGGGTTAACTTATATCTCCCCACAATTTATCACATGAACCCCTGCGCAATTGCCTGGAGGAAGCTCCAACTATACACAGTGAGAGTCCAGAGTACAAGCAGTTCTATAGGAGGGTGTAATCTGTAGTTGAACCAGCAGATGGCGCTAGTATAAGGCTGTACAATGATCACAGGCTGTTAAGCTGAAATACTTGCAGTTGAGACGAGCAGTGCAGTCCTTGCCAGACGGGAGAGAGGTAAGCTGTGCTGATGAGCTGGGTACTCACTCCTGTGAGGTTTCACGGTTTCCACCAGCAGGTTGTGGCAGTTCAGTTGGGGGGTATGAGAGCAATTGCTCAGCGTACAGTTATCCATTGACTGAACGCCGAGAAAGGGTGCCAAAAACATGTAGACACATTTTAAGAAGGGAGAAAGTGTATTTAAAATTGTAATACTCAACATACACTGATAACAAAAGATGAATACAAGTCACGTTTGATTTCTGCTATTGCAAGAGCTGCTCACAGTGGTTACTATCAGCGTCCAGACACTTCCGATTACCACCAACTACCATTTGAGCAACATTGGCCAAAGTGTCAACTTATATCACTGCGCACATCACACACACAGTACCATGCGCCTGTAACTTATCACCAATGTGTGTAATTGTTAGGTGTGTTGGAGGTTCTGTTGCACACTCACACCTCTGTTGTCATTGTACTTCCACGACGTTATCGAATTTCAAATACCACTTCAAAATGGTCTTGCGCTCCTCGAACGACAACCGTGCTTCCGCCATTTTCTTTGACTGTCCTGCCTGTGGCATGGCGACGGCAGCATTTGATGAACGCCACCTATTGAGCGAACGTCATACTACACATTGTCACCGTCATCCAATTCAACTTTGAAAAGTAATATATAGACGACATCTCTTAAAATGTGTATAATTTGGCACCCCCGATTATAGATATTTATTCCAACTTTAAAAGAGAAGTAAAAGCAAACCTTATGTGGCAGTGTAAGCCAATGCCACGGTGTAGTTTGGCAACTATGGCACCCAGGACTATCAGCAAGAGGGGCTGAGAGAGTCCAGAGAGTAAACCATTTTATAAAGGAAGAACCTGGCCTTTCAGATTCCACCAGGTTTTCAGAATTGTAGCTGGGATCTGGAGATTTCTTAGAGCTCTGGGTGGGTTAGAGCTCCAGTCCTGGGGCCAAACTACACCGTGGCATTGGCTTACGCATCCACACTAATTAATTACCTTTGGGTCATAAGAGTACAATTACTAATGTCAGCTGATAGCAGGCTAATGTCCACCATCAGCAAACAGGCCAAAACCACTCTGCAGTCAAGAAAGTTCCCAACAATTGTCAGAATCCACGCCAGATGCCTGACAGCTAACTCTACCTTACTGACCACGCCTGACAGCCACACCTGCACCAGCCCCTTCCCTGGCCTGTAGCTGCAGCCAGCATTGTTCACTTTGTAATGTATATGTTCCCTTCACTTAGTGAATGAGTAAAGACGTGCTCAATTCCATTCAACTATGCGAAAGCAAAAAATCTGATTCATTCACGTCACATTCTGAACATCTATATGGTCTCTGTCCTGAGTGACTCCTTTAGTGTTCAGTAAGATGAGACTTTTGTCTGAAGCACGTGTCACTCTCTGAATACTCTCTATATGGTTTCTGTCCAGTGTGGATCCTCTGGTGCCGAGTTAGAGTTTCCTCACGTATGAAGCACTGGTCACATTCTGAACATCTAAATGGTTTCTCTCCAGTGTGACTTTTCTGGTGTTGAGTTACAAGTGTAAAAATATATTTTAATTGCACCTGACCAAAATCTTAAAGTTCTTTTTTTAATTCAATACTTTTTTATTTTATCAGTACAATACATAAAACAAACTTATACATCCATAATTACATATTAAAACAGCAATACAAAACAGATAATACAAAAGACCCATACAAAAAAAAAAAGCTGCGTCAATTTACGCGATGCAGATGGTGAAACTAATTGGATTGAAAACAACGCCTCCCTCCAAAGGGCTTCATCCAGAGGCCCCAGATCCTTTTCCCAGCCCACTTTACATTTCATAGGAGATTTAATCAGGACCCCAGGTAGTAAGGTAGTACATTTGCATACATCTTTGAGATCAAACCTCTCGTCATAGTTGTATCAAAAAATGTATTTATAACCGCATTTACATTCATACAAACCTCACGTACACCTGGATGTACCGTGAGCGCATGCCTTAGTTGCAGATATTTATAACATTGAGCATTCGGTAGCAAATAACTTGTGTAACTGTTGGAACGAGCACAAAATACCTTGATCATAGATTTGCGCCAATGATTCATTCCCCATTTCCTTCCATATTCCAAATCCCTGGAGTTTGTTTACCTCGTACAGTACCCCATTATCCCATATCTGAGTGTATTTTGTAAAGTCAGAAAAATCCAATAAACCCTTAATTGATTTCCACATTTTACAAATTAATCTTAAGGTGGGAAGATTTGAAAATTCTTTTCAAGTACTTTTTTCAAGTAGTTTCAAGGGCCATAAGGGGGTCCCTATTGTAAAACAGACATTTAATAATATCATATTCCCCTATCCTCTGTCCTGGCAAGTTCCATCCCGCCAGGTGTCTAAACTGTGTGGCCAAAAACATTATCCATGGATTTGGAAGTGCCAAACCGCCGGTTCTCTTAGAATATTGCAAGATTTCTAGTTTTATCCGTGCTTGTTTCTTCTTCCACATCAACTCCCTAAATACTGTATTTATCCTCCTAAATATAGTTTGAGAAATCCAGCATGGAGAATTGTACAGTACATAGGAGAGTTGGGGCATCCAAATCATTTTGATAACATTTAATCTGCCAACCGGCAAAAGGGGGAATTTACACCATATCTTGCATTGTTTCTGAAATTGCTGCAAAATTGATATTAAATTATTTTCTAAATATGCCTCAACGTTTACTCTAATCCTGACACCCGAATAGACAAATGATTCTTCTATTTGTATATGCTGAATTTGCATCAGCAGTGGACATGGAAGAGGATCAATCGGAAGTAACATAGATTTTTCCCAGTTTACACATAGCCCTGAGAACCTACCAAATTCCAGAAGTAGAGACATCACTTCTAGTAAAGAGTGGTTAGTATCAGCTAAAAAGACCAATGTATCATCTGCATATAATAGTATCTTATCCTCTGCCTTACCCCGCTTAAACCCCACTATCTAATCTGAATGTCTTATTAAGTTAGCCAACGATTCTATAGATAATGCAAATAACAGGGGAGACAAGGGACACCCCTGTCTAGTTCCCCTCATCAGTTTAAAAGCTGGGGATAGGGCTTTATTTACTTGTATTTTAGCCGAAGGATTGGCATATAATAGTTGAATATATGAAATATATCGGGGGCCAAACCCAAATGCTCTTAACATTGCCCATAGATAATCCCATTCCACACTATCAAATGCTTTGGCAATGTCCAGAGACAACAAAGCTCTATTCCCCATTATCTCTGAGGGAACTTGCATATTCACATATAACCTTCGCACATTATCTGCCGTTGACTTATTAGGCATAAATCCGTTTTGATCCGAGTTTATTATCTTCTGAATAACCTTACATAGCCTATTCGCCAGAACTTTTGCCAAAATCTTAACATCAGATCCCAGCAAAGATATAGGCCTATATGACTCCGGCAGTAACGCATCCTTCCCCTTCTTTTGTAGAAGAATAATTGCAGCCACATACATTGATCCCTATTTCTAAAGCTTTCTCAAAAGTTTGTAACAACACCGGAAGAAAAGTAGAGGCATATTTCTCATATATCTCTATTGGTAACCCATCCAAACCTGGAGCTTTCCCCTTTGGAAAACTAGCCACGGCTACCTCTAATTCTTGAATAGTGAGAGGAGTTTCCAGACTATCCCTATCAACCTGGGATAACGTATTACATGGGATGTTACCTATATAGCTTGCCAGATCTACACTGCTATAGGTTGCTCTAGCGGTATAAACCCCTTCATAATACTGTTTGAACATCGAGAGAACTCGGTCGGACCTGCTGCACAATTGGCCATCCGTATCCTTCAACACATTTACAAACGGAACTTGCTCTTGTGCCTTCACCAACTGTGCCAGCAGTCTTCCAGAACTCTCTCCTTCCTCCCAGTATTTTTGATTACTAAAAAATAGTTTATTTTTTACTTGCATTGTTTCTGAAATTGCTGCAAAATTGATATTAAATTATTTTCTAAATATGCCTCAACGTTTACTCTAATCCTGACACCCGAATAGACAAATGATTCTTCTATTTGTATATGCTGAATTTGCATCAGCAGTGGACATGGAAGAGGATCAATCGGAAGTAACATAGATTTTTCCCAGTTTACACATAGCCCTGAGAACCTACCAAATTCCAGAAGTAGAGACATCACTTCTAGTAAAGAGTGGTTAGTATCAGCTAAAAAGACCAATGTATCATCTGCATATAATAGTATCTTATCCTCTGCCTTACCCCGCTTAAACCCCACTATCTAATCTGAATGTCTTATTAAGTTAGCCAACGATTCTATAGATAATGCAAATAACAGGGGAGACAAGGGACACCCCTGTCTAGTTCCCCTCATCAGTTTAAAAGCTGGGGATAGGGCTTTATTTACTTGTATTTTAGCCGAAGGATTGGCATATAATAGTTGAATATATGAAATATATCGGGGGCCAAACCCAAATGCTCTTAACATTGCCCATAGATAATCCCATTCCACACTATCAAATGCTTTGGCAATGTCCAGGGACAACAAAGCTCTATTCCCCATTATCTCTGAGGGAACTTGCATATTCACATATAACCTTCGCACATTATCTGCCGTTGACTTATTAGGCATAAATCCGTTTTGATCCGAGTTTATTATCTTCTGAATAACCTTACATAGCCTATTCGCCAGAACTTTTGCCAAAATCTTAACATCAGATCCCAGCAAAGATATAGGCCTATATGACTCCGGCAGTAACGCATCCTTCCCCTTCTTTTGTAGAAGAATAATTGCAGCCACATACATTGATCCCTATTTCTAAAGCTTTCTCAAAAGTTTGTAACAACACCGGAAGAAAAGTAGAGGCATATTTCTCATATATCTCTATTGGTAACCCATCCAAACCTGGAGCTTTCCCCTTTGGAAAACTAGCCACGGCTACCTCTAATTCTTGAATAGTGAGAGGAGTTTCCAGACTATCCCTATCAACCTGGGATAACGTATTACATGGGATGTTACCTATATAGCTTGCCAGATCTACACTGCTATAGGTTGCTCTAGCGGTATAAACCCCTTCATAATACTGTTTGAACATCGAGAGAACTCGGTCGGACCTGCTGCACAATTGGCCATCCGTATCCTTCAACACATTTACAAACGGAACTTGCTCTTGTGCCTTCACCAACTGTGCCAGCAGTCTTCCAGAACTCTCTCCTTCCTCCCAGTATTTTTGATTACTAAAAAATAGTTTATTTTTTGCTTTATTATTTTCAATCTGCTTTAGCTGTTCTTGTGCAGCGGTCCACTCATCACAAGCTGTTACGTTAGGATTTGCCACAAACAGCGTCTTTAAACGAGTCACTTCCTTCCTCCTCCCTATTCCATTGCTTCCTCGTCCTACTAATCTGCTGACATAAATATCCCCTCATATATGCTTTCAAAGAGTCCCATACTACCCCATGTGACGCAGAATTAATATTTGTGCTCAAAAACATTGATATCTCATGTTCTAACTTCTCTTGTGCTGACAATATAATTAACCATCCCGGATTTAATTTCCAAGGCAATCTAAAAAAAACTTCCCCCAGTTTCAATTATAGTGATTATTGGTGAACGATCTGAAAGTGATCTTGGTTGTATCTCAACTGATTTAATTAGTGGTATTACATCAACTGAACACAAAACTAAATCTATCCTTGATAATGTGTTATGTGTCTTCGAAAAACATGTGTATTGGTGTCCCTCTGGGTGCAACATCCGCCACACATCTAATAACCCAATTTATTTAGAGAAATTGTAAAAATAAGTGTTTTTTTGTGACATCCAAGTGCTTATTTACCGGGAATTTGTCTAGTGCTATATTCATATAATATCCCCATCACAATAACAAATATGTAACTTATCTTTAATAAACAATAACAGCTTCCGGAGGACCTCATTAGAGTAGGGAGGAGGGAAATATATGTTTACCAGCACGCATTCTACTTCATAGATTTTACAATGCATAAATACATATCTACCCTCTTTATCACACAGTGCTTGTATACATGAGAAAGCTATACCTTTACAAACTAGTATTGATACCCCTCTAGAGTATGTTGAATAACATGCATGAGCTGTATATTGCAGAAATCTGCGTTCCAACCATCCAACACTATCTCCCATCAGATGCGTTTCCTGCAGACAAATAATTGACGGCTTATGAAACATAATGCTGGATAGTACCGCACATCGCTTTGTCCTATTCCCCAGACCCCTAACATTCCAAGATATTATAGATATTTTTTTCCCTATCCATTAAGTTTGACTACCCTATGCTGTGACACAAAGCAGTTAGGCATAGCACTCCAATATAAGTAAAAATTTGATATTTGAGAAAGAGCTAAAAAGGGGGGGGAAACAACTAAGAAAAACAAAAAACCGCAACACACATTACACAACACGGTAACAAAACAAAAACAAGCCATTACTACATTGACCCCCCACCAAAATATACTCCACTCAGGAGCCATATAGGGGGTTAGAGACATTGGGGGGCATTTATCATAACTGTAGCAGCAAGCAAAACTAATAGTTAAAAATGAATCCAATGCATGGAAACTGTATTGCTATCCCATGTAGATTTATGCAGTCAGGATAGTGGAGCTATCCTTCATATAGTGTCCAAAATAATTGTCTAGCTTGATTCGTCCCGACGCGTTTCGCCAATGGCTTCTTCAGGGGATCAATGTATATATTGATCTAGCAGTAAAAAGAGAATTTCTTGCATAGAATTAATCTCTTAATGTATGGTCGCATAGGGCACATAGCACAGTATATAGCTCCTAGAACATTCATTATATTGTGAATCCCCACATGAATAGACACCCCCATCGAAGGTGACCACCCGGCACTTCACCAGGCACATGAAGTGCCCGGAGAGGACCGATGTTAAGAGGACCGAGAAGACAGTGCGGCCAGGATAATCTAGCCAACACTCTCAGTCCTTCGGCATACCTGGGACCTCGGGGCCATACAGAAGGGAGTGCCTGGGAAACACAGTGGAAGCCCAGCCAGCGCCGCTGGGGAAAGGCTCTTGTTGTAAGATTGTGTAATCTAGAGACTATAACGCACAGGCAAGTATTTGTAATGAACTGGATCTCAGCTACGGATCAATGAACCAGCTTGATTATTTATTAACAGTGTGTGGTAATGATATGCACTGGAGCGACGATGTTCAATTTGTAGTTTTCTACATAAGGCTCTCCAGAATTTTGAGATGAATTGTGGTCCCCTGTCAGAGACCAACTTGCTAGGAACCCCATGTAATTTATTAACGTTGGCAACAAAAACTTCTGCAGTTTCTTCCGAAGTGGGTAATTTCGTTAAAGGAATGAAGTGTGCCATTTTAGTTAGAATGTCAACTGCTACAAAGATAGTGTTATACCCTCCCGCAGGGGGCAGATCTACTATGAAATCCATTGAAAAAAATGGTGGTTAAACCTAGGTGCATTCTGAATATATAGAAAGCCATAAATGTAGTGTATGTGTTAGATACTGGTGTGAGATTGTAATTATATTAAATATGTATTGTTAGTGTCCAAACAAATGACTGAAATTGAATCATGACCTGTGTTTGTGTGATAGCATTGGTGTATATGATAGTGTGTAAATGCATGCGAAAAGAATGGTGCATAGGTGGTAATGTCAAGCCACTTGTCACCCTATACTGTCCATCATACCTACCCAATAAATGCTCCAATAATTGTCTCTTTTATACAGTATGTAAGGGAGACAAGTGGTATACTCACTCCAAAACAAATTTCCCCCATCCCCCCACCAAGTAGGACTCCCCCAGTCAGCTCGAAGTACATCATATGAGAGGTTGTATATAGTCGGCTATCCTTCTAATAGGGGAAAGGTTTGTACCTCGTTAGTGACCCAGGGAGAGATCTGACATGTTCTCCACGTTACAGCTCCATTGCATTCTCCACATTGACCCAGCGAAACCCCCTCCCTTAAATAGCCCCCACCACTGAATTGGACCGACCAGACACAGGTGTTCCGGTCGCCAATCAGCGGTATGGACTCCCCATGGCGCATGCGCGAGTCCGGCAAGCACGCGTCATATACGCCCCATCCGACACTACCTGGGCAACAAGGGAAGCCGTTCCCAGGAACCGCCCCCTTAGTTGTGTACAGGAGTGGGGAGGCTCTCACCACACAGATTGCAGATTCGTGCCACGGGAGCGGACATCTAGATCTAGGGGCCAGATGGATTGAGCATATGGAGTTCAAGAGGTCCCAGGCCATGACATCACATCGGTCCCTGTGCCGCATGAACCACAGCCAACGGGGATCTCCACCCTAAGGGAGAACTCATCTTTAATGATTTAATAAATTAAATAAATAAAAAATCTATACTGAACAATATACAGCAATATGCAGTAATCTACATGGAAAATGTGTCATATGTGCCAAGCACTATTCATAAATAATTACAATTCTCATAATCACATTGATACTAGTTTCAATACATTGTCTTAAGGAATACATCATATTGCATGATTATCCAAATCAATCTAGTTTGAGCTTACAATGTAGCATAATTTGAGAATCCTGTCCATTCGTTTACAAAGTAGTGTTATATTTTGCAAAACACCATATTACTTCATAGGTACAACCTATCTTTTACAAAATGGTACATTGTCTTTTAAGATGAATCCCTTATTTATATAAATATATCATATTAAATGATTACTCAAGTCAGTCTCATCTAGGCCCAAGTTGTCACAAATTTAGAAGAACATATCCATTTGTTTTTCAATACATTATCTTTAAAAAAAATTATTATACATCATATTGCTTCATAGGATTGACCCAGCTTTTATAAACTTGTACATTGTCTTTTGGGGATAACTCCCTCATATATATACATCATATTGCATGATTACCAAAATAGATCTCATCAAGGCCCAGATTATAACATGATTTGAGAAACATATCCATTATTTTTCATCTTTTTGAATTACATCATATTGCTTCTTAGGTGCGACCCATCTCATGTAAATTTCTACAATTCTCTTTTTGAGATAAATCAGCCCATCCCCAAATGGGCTCCATGGGACAGATATATTCAAAAATTCCTTTGAATTGTAAGATATAACTTTATTTTCAATTTCTGCTATTTGTAATTTGCATACTGATCGATGCATGGTCCAGGAGCCCCTTATCTGGGGCAAACCATCCAAAAGTAGAGCCTGGTAGGCGTTTACACCTCATCCTGTCTGCATAAATCTACATGTATGGACTGAAAATGCGTTCACTGGGCATATGAAAACCCAAATAACTCTCGGATAGCAATACAGTTTCCATGTATTGGATTCATTTTTAACTATTAGTTTTATGTACAATAAACTTTTGATATGTGAGATATATAATATATATATATATATATATATATATGTATGTCATTGCCTTTATACCTCTCTAGAAACCCTACATTCACTACTTTTGCTTGCTTGACTAATTTGAGGGGGGAGAGGTTTGGGCAGGGAGCCCTTTTTTTAGGCAATCCCCCAGGTTTTGTTTTGAAATCATAACTGGAGCAGAATAATCTGGAGCAGTTGCCTATGGCAACCAATCAGCTTCTCTCTTCAGTTTGTTCAGTTAAGGTTTGAAAATGAAAGGTGGATGCTGATTGGTTGCCATGGGCAACTGCTCCAGATTCTGTCTACTCCAGTTTTGATAAATTCCTCAATTCACACATAACACGTGCTGCGATTAGCTGCGGATGATCATAGCTGAATGCAGCTGATCACAGAGGTCCCATGGAGGAATTCATGAGAATCTTGCAATCGGTCCCATTCCCATATGTGAATGGGGGTCTGACAGATCTGGGGGTCAAAAGCAGATGATATTTCTATAATGTGAAATGTATCATTTTCAGAATATGGATAGGGCTTCTCTCCTAGGTGATTCCTCCAGCGTCCAATAGAATGTAACTTTTGAATGAAGTACTTTTAATCCAGAGTATTAAAACAACACCACTATTTCATTGCAGATTTTCTGGTGTTGAAAAAGATTCATCTTTTGTTTGAAGCTCTTGTCACACTTTAAACATTGAAATGGTTTCTCTCCTGTGTGAGTCCTTCAGTGAACCCTAAGCTGAGGTTTGGTGGTGAAACATTTGTCACATTCTGAACAGCTGTATGGTTTCTCTCCTGTGTGGATCTTCTGGTGTTTAGTGAGATATTTCTTTATTAAAAAGCACTTGTCACATTCTGAACATTAAGGCCCCATTCACATGTAGCGACTTATTGCGCGATTTCCGCCGCGATATCGCGCATTTTTGCCGCGCGTTATCGCGAGAAGTCGCCGGCTAATGATAGTCAATGGAGCTGTCTTAGCTCCATGTCGCGGTCGCTTCTACAGGACCCTTTTTTGTGCGGATTTTGCACGATTTTGCTTTTTTCTAATGGAGCCCGACGGAGAAGGTCGCGCTACCGTCGCTGGAACGTCGCCCCGAAAGTCGCGCTATCCCGGCCGCTGCAAAAGGTATGTCGCTACATGTGAATGGGGCCTTAAATAACTTGTGTGTGGGTTTTCTGGTGCTCAGTAAGATTTATCTTTCGTGCAAAGCTCTTGTCACATACGGGACATTTAAAAGGTTTCTCTCCAGTGTGAATCCTCTGGTGTTCAGTAAGATGTCCCTTTTGTGTGAAGCCCTTGTCACATTCTGAGCATTTAAATGGTTTCTCTCCAGTGTGAGTCCTCTGATGATCAATGAGCTGAGATTTGGTGGTGAAACATTTGTCACATTCTGGACACCAGTGTGGTTTCTCTCCTGTGTGGATCATCTGATGATTAATAAGATTGCTCTTTCGTGAGAAGCACTTGTCACACTCTGAACATCTATATGGTTTCACCCCCGTGTGTATCATCTGGTGCTTAGTAAGTTTTATCTTTAGTCTGAAGCGCTTGTCACATTCTGAGCATTTAAATGGTTTCTCTCCAGTGTGGATCCTCTGGTGTTCAGTAAGATGTCCCTTTTGTGTGAAGCACTTGTCACATTCTGAACATCTGTATGGCTTCTCTCCAGTGTGAGTCCTCTGGTGTTCAGTAAGAGATCCCTTTTGTGAGAAGCACTTGTCACATTCTGAACATCTGAATGGCTTCTCTCCAGTGTGAGTCCTCTGGTGTTGAGTAATACTTCCCTTAGTTGTGAAGCACTTGTCACATTCTGAGCATTTCAATGTCTTCTCTCCTGTGAGACTCCTCTGGTGGTCAGTGAGATTTGTCTTGTTTTGTTCGTACTTTTCAGACAGATTATGAATCTTCTGGTGAACTGTAAGAAGTGACTTTGAAATGAAGCTTCTCTCACACTCCGAGCACTCATATAGCTTGTGTCCTCCGGGATCCATCATGTGCTAAAGAATAACAACTTAGCAGTAGTATATTTTCAGTCTCCTGACGGTGGATCTCTGAAAAAAAAATAGAAATACATCGTTATATAATATTGACAACAGATAAAGAACCTCGGAATTACATTTTTGCATTTTTCCACTACAGTTGCATGTCTTCAGACATATAAATATATAATTTTCCAATAAAGGTTTATGCTCATGCCTTTTCCTTTTTTGTTGCATCAACAGTCTATTCTCTTTGTGTATAATGCTACTCACCTCCTGAAGCAAGAGATCCCAAAATATTGTGAAATACGTTGAGGTCTTCCTCGTTCACTTGACCATAAGAAGATCTAGCATATCTTAAGATATATGGACTGTAAGAAAGTTTGCATCGGGGCATATATTGGACACTGCTACAGCAAAACTTGTGGTTGTAAGCTTTTCAGAGATGTTTAAATAAAGATGAAATGTTTTAAAAACAAATATACTTTGTCATATGAGTACCATTAAAGTCCGGCAAAGATCCATCAAAACTATTTCATTATAATTTACATACCAATTAAAGCAGTAATCAATATACAACTCAAATTAAAGTGCAACAACATGTAAACATTATTTCATAATGTCCAACATCATGTGATCATAGTTCTCTAATCCAATAACAATTATTGTGCATATCAATAACGTACAAAAAGCAAATTAAAGTGTAACAGTGTATCATTAATCATACATAATATTCAAAATTGTGTGATCGGCAAACATCCACCACTGTGTAGGAATACAATAGATTTACACCTTCAGTCTATTCTAATATCAGCAGTGACGAACGTTCATCCAAGGCATAAGGATCCAAGATGCCACTCGATCCACCACCATGTAAGTAATATCAATTTATTATCCTCCATGATAGTCACCCCGTGCCACAGACACCCCAAATGGAATCATACTCAGCATAAGGATATGACCCTCTTGCTTCCAAAAAAAAAAAAAGGTCATATAGCGCAGTGTGTTACTATGAACTATCCGGGAGATGAACACAGACTTCCAAAATTTTCTCATAAATCATAAAAATTATGTTGAGGAAGGCTCTAGCATAAAATGATTTCCTTAGTAAAACAATACAAAACAATGCACAGGTACTCTCATTCTTTGGTGCCTAATCCTGCACCCGGATAAAACATTAAGCTCACTTGCAAATAAAAATGCTGCGCCACGACAGGCAATCCATGCACACAGATAATCCACCAAGTTACATGATATGGCAGTGTTAGACCCGCCCCTATGCGTTTCATCAGCAGGATGTCCTCGGGAGCTGCGAAACACTGAAAACCCCATATATTGTATCTCCTCTCCATTAACTCTTTCAGCACTTCTTTCAAAGCTTGTTCCCAATCGGATTCAGGCACACGAAATTCCCACTTAAAAGATAAATTAATTGTCTCTTAAGGAACACATTTGTGGATGGATCCAGACAATAAGATTCCAACCATAAACATGTAATGTATAGCACAAGCACAGCAATTGGCATAATAGATATCATTGGTATCACCAATGGTAATATGACAGGTCTCCCTGGGTATCATAATAAATTCTTGATTAATAGCATATACTAATATATATTAGTAACATATATGAAATCAATCATCAACCTTATTAGACATATGTCAAAATACCAGTGTATGCCCCACAAGCCCCAGGCACCAAAAGTAATGTTCAATATCCTTAATTGTCTTGAACATCATAAAATGTATTCATTGACATATATAATGATGTGTTATCAATAATCGTAAAAATACATAACAGATCTTAATAAATAGCAAACATGCCAATTGGGATCAGCTAAAGCACTATAAACAGACCGGCATCAACTAAGGCATTAAGAACCAGATGATGATCAGTCTTCCAACACCACCAAACAATAAGAAGATAATCATCAATATAAATCATAACGCAATAGCCAATACTTAGATGTTATAGATAAATGATACTGTAGAGTGATAGATGAATAATAAAAAACCCATTCATTAATAATATAATTCAAATTTTCAATTAATCCACCTCATGTGCCTACATAAATGTTAAATTATATATATCAAAAATGAATTAAATATATAAATACAATCATAGCACATCTCAAAAACCCAAATACACTGAAATCTCCAAATTACAGATTAGCAATGAAACAATTTAGATCTAAGTTTACATTGAGACCCCCCTGGCTGTAAAGTTCTCAATTCATAGATCCACTTTGTCTCATTTATCAAAATCTCCCTTTTCATATTGGACCCTCTCCAATGTCTATTTACTCTATCCATCCCATACAATCCCAAAATGTACTTTGTCAAAGTGTCTTGAAATGCTATTTTGTCAAAACCCTTTTTAATATTAATGTGCTCCCTGAACCTTACTTCTAACTTTCTTGCTGTAGGACCCCCATACTGTATTGCCATACAATAATACAGTTAAATCTGAAGAAGTGGGTTTAACCCTTGAAATGCGTTAGCTATTGTCCACCGGAAATTATGGACACCGGCACTCCAAGGTAGAATAACATCTTTTTATTGACGTTTCATGCAACAATACACTAATTGCAATAAGTGTATTGTTGCATGAAACGTCAATAAAAAGACGTTATTCTACCTTGGAGTGCCGGGGTCTATAATTTCCTATATACTATTCAGACGGTGGCCATCCGTCGACTACTGATGCACCCAACCTATTACTACGGATTAGCGGTAAGGAGTGCAATGGGTACATGGACTGTAACCATTGTCCACCATCACATGCTGAAGGGTCTCTTTCGTCTTCTTTGTTCTGTACCTGGGTTGTTACAGGATCTCTATCTCTGCAGCTGTCAATAGGGTGTTATTGAGGATTTTGGGGTAGATCCCTATAGCGCAGATAATCATTTGTTTTTCTTATTAGGGGATTGTTTGCTGATGTTGTCTGGACTGAACATGTGAATAGAATGGACGTCTGATTTTTACACTCTGTTCTAATAAATGGTATTACACGAGGGGAAGGCGCTGTTTCTTTTATCTCTTTTCATTGACATCTAGCGATACAAAAGCTTATGACATCATTCAAACCAGGATATGCATCAGCTTTAAACTCGAAACTCCATCAGGCTTCCCGTTGCAGAATCTTATCGCAATTCCCACTATGCGGATCCTCATGTACCCTCTCCAAAGCCACAAAAGATATCAATGTGGCATTGAAATGATATACTAGACCCACGTGTCTACTACCGTGTTTCCACGAAAATAAGACACTGTCTTATTTATTTTTTTTGCACGAAAAAAAGACACTAGGTCTTGTTTTCGGGGGATGTCTTACCTGGCTGGACGAGGTCCCAGAAAGCGGCGTGCTATTGCCGGTCCCGGCGGATGATATGCCGCCTCCATCGGGCATGCGGGCGCGTGTGGGCAGGAGCTGCGGCTGGTGTGTGGGCGGGGCGGGAGCTGCGGCCGGCTGGCGTGTGGGCGTGGTGGGAGAAACGCCGGCCGCTCACAGTGCTCTCATCCTGCAGCGCTCAGCCGGCTGTCACTTTCTTTTCTCCCCGCTGGGAGAAAAGAGCAGCGCCCAGCGGGGAGGAAAGAAATCACGGATGCGCCGATGTATCGGCCGAAACATGGCTCTTTCGGCATTATGCCAAAAGTGCCATTTTCGGCGGCCGATATATCGGTGCATCCCTAATTATTATACAGGAGTTATATGGCGCCAACAGTTTGCGCAGCACTTTACAATATAAAGGAAGACATTACAATCACAATACAATTCAGGACAAGATGGTAACGAGGGCCCCGCCCCTGAGGGCTATATCAATATATACCTGCTGATCCTGCCAGAAATCCAGCAAGCCTCTAATTGTAGGTGCACTCTGTAGTGTTATATCAAACAGTGTAATCAGGAAGTAGGAGAGGGGGAGATGTTTCTGTAGTCCTAACAATTCCAGTCCTGGGTGACAATGCTGCTCCTTCATAGGTACAGTACAGCAAGTAAATATATCTGTCCCCGTTCCACTGATATACTTCCTACTTTCACATTCTCACATTACTATTGCAAGATGAAAATCTAAGTAAGTAGAATGTAAATGAGGCAAAGACACAGTGCAAACAGAAAATATATTTATTTAGGTTCCACCAAATACTATAAAGTTATAAGAGAAAGGACAGCAGAGGGTGTTCCCTTTCATACACCCTGTCTGTGACCGAAACTTCAAACCGATCCACAGAACAGAAAAGGGGAGCAGTCATTGCTCTGACTCATCCACTTTGTGTGTGAATTACCGTTTGAGCAGCTGAGCTCTGTGAACAACAGATAACACATATCAGTCACATATAACCAGGGCTTGAAAAATCCACTCGTCTGCGACGAGAGGACGGTGGAGCCCGACGAGCAGCTTCCTGGCCAGCCGTTGTAATTACACGACTGGCCGGGAGCTTTACAGGCAATCGATCGGGCGTCTCTAGAGACGCTCAATAGCTTGTATGAGCAGCTGTCACTGCGGGTCCCGAGATCCGCTGTGCCCGATGCAGACGGGACCGGCACGGCTCTGTGAAAGGAGATCAAAGGAAGTTCAGTATACGAACTCCCTTTGATCTCCTCTCAGTCCCCGAATGCAGGAAGTGATGTATATTACATCACTTCCTGCATTCAGTGTCATTCTCCAGCTAGAGAAGCTGATGAAGCCGATCTCTGCTTCATCAGCCTCTCTGGGGGTCCCTAGGTGACATTAGGGGTCTTGGAGACCCCTGATGTATCCATAAAGAGGACCTGTCATGTAAATTGGCTATCCCATAGGGGGCTTCTTAGCCCCCCCATGTAATAGAAATAAAGTTGTGTGTAAAAAAATAAAAAAAAAATAAAGAAGCATCAAAAAAATGTTTTCTTGAAAAAAAAATGTTTTAAGTTCCCGCCCCCCACATACACACACAGATATGCGTCGGGTGCGCCTACGTGCAAAGACAATTGCGCCTATTGTGCCGCACATCTTACATATTGTCGCAAACGTC